TTTTTTTTTTAAATCGCCCTTAAAATATTTTTATTTTGGTGCTTGTTTCGTGTTTGCTTGTCAAAATCTCTCCAACCCGCCCTTAAATAAATTTGAATTTTAGTGAAGTTACTTCCATTTATAAGTACCGCATTGAATTAAAATATGGCGTTTCTGGCTAATTTATTTCCTAATATACAGGCCTGCGAATTTGGGGAAAAAACGGTCAAGCAGCCAAAATTGATGCTTTTTTATATAATTTTTTTAAACCATAACAATGTTTTTTTTTCGTATTGCTAAGTACGTATAAATTGTAATAAAACATGAAACTCACCTAAGAATATAACTTCAGTTATTAATCACCAAACTTGACCCTTCCGGCTACGCAAGCAAATACGACTTTCCACCTCTACGTGATTACAATTTTTTGCGTCCGACAATTTTTTTTTCTGTGTGAAAATAATTTTGATTTTGTTTATTTCGGACATCGGGAAATAACATATAAAATTATGAAGCAAATTAAAAAGTTCGACCAGCCACCCCCTGTTCGATCTTATTTGAAATCACCCCTCTGCAGATATAAAAATCGGTGGAACTCCGGGACGTGAAATGGGATACTTATTTTTTCCCATTTCATAACGGGGTCTATTATGTTCACGGTTCTTGCTTCGTCGGTTTGTTCTTCGGCGTCCTTACCGGCTGATGTCGTATCCTGTTGGAGGCGCAGACTGCAACCTTTCCCTCCCACCACCCCCTCCCCCCCAAAAAAGAAAGAAATAAAAGGAAAAAGAAAAAAAACTTTCTTTTCGGGAAAGCGAATAACCTCTCTTCGGTGGCCTTTGGGTTTAAAAATAAGAATGAAAAAATCGTGCCCAATTGCAAGCTTTATCACATCGCTGAGAACTCGCCTCGTCTAACACTGTTCTACAAACTTTGTCATCATGGCTCGTTTGACGATGATTTCTTTCAGGCGCCTCGCGTTATTTTTCCATGCAAGGATCACTCATGTAAAGTTAAGCGATCCCATGCCTCTCATCTCTTTATGCACAATCACGCGTAACGCGAACGATAATTGATTCGAATGACGTGCCAGCGCACACAGCGACTGAAGATGATCTAACAATATTTCAGTAACTCATGTGCGCTGACTAGAACATCTTGTTTCGCGGCACTATACGTATGTATCTTCTTCGTTTTCACGTGTTTTTGTTAATTTTGTTTTGCAGTCCTAGTTACATTATTTGTTTCTTGTATACTCATGTACCCCCTCCCCCACCAAATGGGCCTTTAGTGGTATTTGGAATAAATAAATAAATAAAATAGACGCCGAACAATGGACTTTATATTCGGCGCCAGTCTTCTGTTCACAGAATCGTCCAAATTATTCGGCGTAAAGTTAGCGGTGACTTTCGGTGAATACCGCGAGCCTGAAAAGGGAGAGGTATTGGTTGGGGGGGGGGGGGGGGGGGTGGAAAAATTGGTGCTTTTAAAAATGATGCCTGCTCCTTCACAATCAGAAGAGAGAGAGAGAGTGAGAGGGAGAGAGTGAGAGAGAGAGAGAGTAAGTGTGTAGTGGAACAAAAAAACATTCGAGCTCAAGAAAAAAAAAAGTTGTATTATCACATTGTTCAAAGAAAATGTAGGAACACGGCGAGGAAAAGTACGATGAAGATAAAGGTGGACTTTATGGGTGCGGTATAAAATCACTTCCCCACGTCGATTCGCTGAACATATACCTACAGTCTTTGCTGACGGACTAGTGTGCAATTGTTCGCGCATAACTATACACGATCCTGCAGTGTCTTTTTAGAAAGTCACTGAAGAAATGTTTTGCATATGTATGTTTTCTGCGCACAGGGCAATATTCCTAGAACCTGGAAATTTGAATGTATGCTGAACCTTTGTACTAAGCCAGGATCATCAAGGACCACGGCACTTTTCTCGAAGGGTGATGCCGTAAAGTTCTGAGGGCCAGATCAAAGATCCGATCAAGAGAAATGATTGTGCATAGATCCAACATCTGTACCAAGCCAAGTTCATCAAAGGTCGGAGTACTGTTCTAAAAAGGAAATGCTCTAAATTAAAAAAAAAGAACGATTAGCCTGTCAAGAATTAACACCCCCTTGAAAATTTCGAGGCCATAAGGCTGAAATTTTACCTCCGAAAGAGGCGACCAAGCACTGCTGCAGCAAGACCTCAACATGATTTCACTTTGGTGCAGCACATGGCAACTAAGATTGAACACAAACGAAACAAGATTTATAACATTTGCCAGTCAGCCTTCTTCCACGCCAAAAAAAATATTCTATTAATCACGAAGACATAGAAAAAGTTCGAACATACAAGTACTTAGGAGTAATTTTTGTCAGAGGACCTCACCTGGAGCTCTCATATCAGTAACACCGCTTCAATTGCATGTAAATCTCTCGAATACATCAAATGTAAGCTCTTCCGCTCATCTCAGACAGTCAAACTAACCGCGTACAAAGCATTTGTGCGATCCAAACTCGAATAGGACAACATCATCTGGTGGCCTCATCAAGCATACCTTCTTAACAAGCTTGAATCTGTTCACAACAAGGTATCACGCTACATCATACATGACTGTTCACGAAACTCGAGTGTCATAATTATTAAAACCAGCCTGGAGTTGAAACCTGTAACCGTTAGAACCAAACTAGCCCGTCTTGTTTTTCTTCATGGCATCTACTAATCATCATCGGAGCCTCCATCTCCAAGATCTATCTAACATTTCAAAGCGCCGCGATCATATACTAAAAATTCAGCCTCTCTTCTCCAAAACTAACAAATTTCGAAATTCCCTTCTTTTACTTGCTATTGCCGACTGGAATTCCTTACCCGCTCACATCGTCCATGAAACTGATGCCAATAAATTTCGCGACCTTTGTAACTCTGATTTGTAAAGTGTGATGAGTGAATGTTTTTTTGTTGTTTTGGTGTTTATCTTTTATTTTTGCGCATTGAATGTTGTATCCCCCCCCCCCCCCCCCCCTCATGTAATAGATCCCAATTGGGATACCTTTGAGGAAATAAAACCTGATCTGGTCTGATCTGACCGGCACGGATGGGTCGTAAGTGCTTTGTCAACGTTCGAATGGGACTCGTCTTGAGTCGGTGAGGTCACGAGTGTCAGCCAAGGTGTAAGATATACAGGGTGTTTCTAAAAGGCCGACCTGCAAAATATTTCTTAACCAGGATGAAAATTCTCCTCTCCATCCTTCTCATTTCCCCCTCTCCCACTCTTGACTTGACGACGAAGCGGGGGGGGGGGGGGGGGGGACTTTTTTCATTCCTGCATCTTGGGGCTGAATTAGCCGGGATAATCTCCCGGTTTATCCGACCCTAAGATGTATCGACAAAACGAGTCCCACCACCGTCAAGATAGCCGCGGGAAAGGGGAAATGGAAAGGGTGGCGAGAATTGCTACCTTGGTTGAACAATATTTTGCAGGTCGGTCTGTGACAGACTCTTTTCTTAAAAAAAAAAAAAAGTTGTGTAGGCTGCACTAATGCAATATGTGCAGGTGAGTTATACGGCTAGGGGGACATAGTATGGGAGGTTAATCGTAACGATCAGTCGGCTAATTAACTAAGGTATGTTTGTTAACGTTTTTATTATTAAAAATAAGCGTAGCGTTTTCGTTACACTCCTGCTGAGCGTCATCGAGAACCGCTAAATCAGCCAACATCATAAAGGCAGTCCTAGAATGACGGGGGAAGCACGGTGGAGCGCTAAAGTTACTACTCGTGCTGCAGGGGCAGAGCTACTGGTTTGAAAACGCGTCGGTGCGGTTTTTCGCGACTCTTATCATTCGAGTTTTTTCACCCCAGCCTTGTGCCTATTGCACGAGTGGTAACTGCAGCTCACTACTGGGCTTAAAACGTGCTCAACGTCTTCTAAAAATTACTGATTTAGTGGTTTTCAATGACGTTCAGTAAGTTTCTAACTGGAACCATGTGTATATTTTCACAAATTGAAAAGTTATTTGACAAGTTTTAGTTTAATATTTGACCTGTGACGATGAGCTTCCTGTATTATGTCCGCTGGTTATATAACTTAGCTGCCCAAACCAAATTTGCTTAGCTTTCACGACTTTTCAAAAAAGTTTAGCTTAAAAGAAAACACCCATATGGTGTCCCAAGCGGACTTTCCGCTGTAAACCGAGTCGGTAAAATCGGCGCCTGCACATAAAAAATTCGAACTAACACCGACTGTGCACTGAGCAGGTCAGTTTTACCGTGTGAAATATCAAGGCCCAGTTCTCTTCTTGTAAAAAAGTGGGAGCAAATTTCTTGCCAATGTCAAAGTCGAGCAGGCTACTTGCTCTCCGAATAGAGCATATGCAGAGGACAAGTCGTCTGCTTCTTCGGCAGGAGTTGCAGTGACGTCAGAAGGACGCCAAGCTCTGATTGGCTATGATTGAAAAGAGAGTGGGTAGACCTCAATGCTAGATGCCTGGAGGTCTACCCACTACCTTTTTCTAAATCAGCCAATAAGAGCTCGGCGGTCTGACATCATCGCAACCCCTCTGCAAGAACAAGATGAACTTGCGCTCCGCATAGGTTGGCATTGCTTCTGCGTGATGGTCCTACTCGCGGCGCTCAATTTCAATGGTGACATCGGGATTTATAATTCTTTTTGAGGTCCCGACTCGTCCCAATCCATACCACTAACGATGACGTCATGAGCAGGCCTTGTCTTCTAAGTGGTATGCGGAGCGCAAGTTCGTGTGCTCTTTTTACAGGGGTTGTGATGACGTCACAACGCCGAGCTCTGATTGACTCTGATTGAAGGATAGTGGGTAGACCCTTGAACTCTACCAACTATTCTTCAATCAGAGCTAATCAAAGCTCGGCGTACTGACGTCCCCACAACCCCTGCAAAAGAAGCAGACGAACTTGCGCTCCGCACTGCCAGACGCCGTACTTGCGAGCGTCTAAACGACCTTGTTACCTTAAAAGGTTTTGCAAGGACGCACGCGTCCACGAAGGACGACTCACCCTGGAGGTACGGTATGAGCCGGCACATGAGCTCCCCGAACACGAACTCCCTGAGCAGGACTCCGGCCAGGGTGAAGGGCATGCAGAAGACGCCGAGGAGCAGGTCACTAACGGCCAGGTTGAGCAGGAACAGGTTGGTCACAGTGCGCATGCGCTTGTTGACGGCCAGCGTGACGATGACCAGGCCGTTTCCGAGTACGGCCAGCAGCAGGATGACCGTGTACGGGGCCACCAGAACCGCCTGGTCCGACCGCCACCAGGAGTACGCCTGTGGGTGGAGGCGCCAGTCTCGGGAGGGTCGTGCGCGGGGACCGGTACCATAGAGTAATATACACAAGGTAAAGAGCGGACACTGCCATAGGCCCCAGCGGCCCAGATAGACCAGTGACAGGTAGCGCTCCTAGCGGGCGGTATTAAGTGTAATCTGATTTCGTTTCCGGTCAAGTTAGTTTCGGTTTCGGTTTGGGCGTTTCTGCCCCGGTTCTCCGGTACCCTTCACTCTCTCTTTCCTCCCCGCCTCGCTCGGCTCTCGGGAACTCCTTGACTCCCAAAGCCGCTGTTTTTTTTTTTTTTTTTTTTTTTTAATACTGACGCACTTTTGCTTTATTTTTTACGATAGAGTCCGTGCAAAATGTATCAAACAATATTTCAACTTACTTCACAAAGCATAAGTATATATATTTCTTGTTCTTTTTCTACTGTAAAGCATTGAAGTTACACAATCGCCGGATTGACTCCTGGCTGGTGGAGCATTTTGGGGTCAACAACAGTAAGTGGTTCGAACACATTTTATTGGACCATATTCATGTATACATGATTTACTTCAGAAGCTCTGTATGTTTTATACGAAAGAGATCGATACTCACAAAAATAAATGAATATGAAGGACTTCGGCATATCGTACACTTCGTAATAGATTCTTAACGGAACCAAGTTAACAAAACCTTTCCACGGAGAACATGCTGTATGATACATTCACTTTCACGCCGACTCGGGTACGGGAAGTAAGTGCAAAAATAAATAAGACACCGCTATCATTACCAGTCATAAGAGTATAATAACAGTGCGAAGCACACGCCGGATAGTACAAATTCCCGATTTCCGGCAAATATAAAAAAAAACACCAATTTGCATAGCCTCAAGCCATTACCAAACAAAGAGAACTCTATTCGAAATCTGACAAGATTCAACGTCCCTAAACATTCCCCGAAATTGTTCAGAAAAGAAATATGGCTTCAGAAAAAAGCGGCTAAAAGACTATGGACAGTGGATACAAAAGTGGATACATTTTCTTTCAAATATTTTTAGCCTCTATACACTATTTTCTATCACAATTTTGTAGAAAGTGGACAAATATTTTTGTTAGGGAGCCGTGATACGCATTCGCTGGAAAAAGGGGAAACAAATATTTGGAGAGCAAGCTGCACCGCCCACTTAAGCACTTTTTGTTTTTGGTTTGGCAACCGCCTCTGTTAATACACTATTAACAGTTAAACCTGTCTCGTTCTTATTAACCACTGAAGAGTGCAACCGAACTTTGTCCAAATTCCGGTTAAGAAATCAAACATGTCAACACAAGCGTATTCTGCAAAACAACTTTAAAAACCCTTTGTGGTACTCCTCTGGGCAAAGGCTAAAACCACCCAGACCTCAAAGTGTGCTATACAAGGCGGCACAGACTCCTCGAACATGTGTCACTCTCTCTATTATAGGAAGAAAGTCATTTTCTAGTTGCTGAATAAAATGAAAGGCAGCCTGTGATTGTACTACTAAGTTCCCGAAGAATTTTCCAGGCACGTGGTATGCTTTAGGAACAAGACAGTACTGGTGAGGCCTGGTCAAGTTATTAGACTCATCCGATAGCAGCTGAGAACAGCCACAGCTGTAAGTTGTCTGCTCAAGCAAAAGCTTAATCAAATAGCCACAAACGTAATAAAAAAAGTGGACGAGTCATTAATTATGTTAGACCTGATGTCTGATGCCAGCTCAGAAATATCCTCTAGTGGCGGGAAGTTATCAATTGGAAGACATTCCACAATGTCTGAAACTAAACTTTCATGGTGCAAAGATATTTGCAACTCCTTTAGGAGGTCAGCCTTGTCATCCTCTACGTTTTCATTGTCCGACAGTTTGAACAGTTTCTTTATCCAGAGGTGTTTCAGTCCTGAGGTGACCTGATCCACATTTGGGTTTGTGTTGCAGCCCAGCATTTGTCGTATATAGCTCCCAAAACGTTCTCAAGTGTGTCTTGCTGCAGGCGTCGTGTAAGTAAGAACTTCAAGTCATGGCTGCTTGAAAGCTCATCACAGAGCATGAGGAAACTTTTTATAGTAACTTGCCACCCAATGATGGCTTATGGCTGCCTCCTACTTTGGAACTGCCATGCTGAAATCCATCCGAGTTACTGGTGGAAAAAATCAAGTATTTCAGATTCTCCCTTCATATTGGCATGACGCAACTTCTGCCCTGTCGTCTTGAATTTTTTAGCTATTTAGACAGTCAAAAAGTATGCACATCCTATCACAGAAAAAGGCTGTAGCCATGGCTGCCTCAGGAAGTTCCTTGGCATAAACAAGGGATATGATTGCAAGAAAGAGTAGACCTGTGGGGCACAATTTTCTTCCATGTTACAGAAAGGTTCTTGAAAAAATGTTTCTCTCAGTAAGTTTCGGAGCCAATTGCAAGCTCATCTCATGGATAGAACAATAAAGTTCAACAAAGAAGACCACTCAATGACCTCATTTCGAATGCAAAGTTTGTGGGCTTGGAGATTGCTCTTGGTTGTTTTGGGAAGGTGTGGAACATCAAAGACAAAGTAAACGTGTTCGTTGTGAACTTCAAGAAATGGCTTATTACCACACACACCAAGCTGATGTTTGAAGCCCCCTAACCACAGACCACAGCCTTTACTGTAAAGCCAACAGACTTAAAGGGGCGATGCACTGATATTTTTATTTTGCGCAAATACCGCTTAGAACGAACCCCTGACGTTAATGATCTGTGAAATACCCGTTCGTTTTCACCACACGCAATCGAGGTCGCAGAAAAAAATAAAGAAAAACGAGCAGAGTTCACCCCTCAACTCGAAGCCATAACAAGCGGCCCCGTGATCTGGAGCCGATTATATGCCGCCAATGTTGATCATAGCCATGCGCTGGGGTTGGCAAGGCACAGGACACGCGCTGAGTTCAAGACATTGTTATGGTTCGGCTGTTGTCGTCGTTGCAGCGATTGGACACAGGACACTACCCGAATGTTTCTCGAGCTATCGATTATCACGAGTCCAAATCGAGTGTCCACGCCATGCTCGGGTCCAATCTATGAGCCGTATTGAAATATCGTCACTGGGCGGTACTGCTACCGCCCAGCTACGTCATCAGGTTTTTCGAAGGAGAAATTGAATGAAAACACTCGGTTTTGTCCTCGAACCAACAAAGGAGTTTCTTGGTCAGTGGCGTTGCGTGCGAATATCCTTGAGTCCCACTAGTGCCAGTAAGCTTGTGTAAAGTGAAGACCATTCCCATTGAATATCGTTGCACCGCCCCTTTAAGCTCCCGAATGAGAGAAATGAGGAGACTGCGTTAAACAGAAGACGTTGTTGGAGTGTGCACAACAGTGTATGCAAGGGGCTAAACGCACCTCCTGGAAATTTCAGACAGCATAACAACCAAGGCTCTATCTGCAATGTTAGAGGTTCGTTCAACACCGTCATCTGTAAACCCATGGACAATGTCGTGTGCTGGGTCGTAAGTTAAATTCTTTTTTTTAAAACAATCTCATCGGAAATCAACATGCACACAGGTTCAAGTGCAGCCAGACAGCCCGGCAGAAAGAACAGCGCGAGAAGCTCGAACCGATCGCCTCCACTAATTCACGCCGAGCATGCCAGCACGCGGGCGGTCATGCGTCACCTTGATTGATGCAAAGTCGACCGAACATGATGCAGCAGAAAGCACAGCTGGACGGCACGCACGGCACAGACGAACGACGCAGGGACGAGCAAAGGCCATGCAGAATGATGCAGAAGCGACGGCGTGCAGGCAGGCAGGCCATGGCAGGTGCCATTCATCACGTGCTTTTTGTGACGTATTTGATTTAAACTATTTAGCCGTTGTAAGTACTTTAAACAATTTTAAAGCATTGCCAATTAAAAAATAAATACTTTTCACAGAAAGAGTTTTAATTAATTTTAGCCAAATTGCAGAAAAGCGCCACGTAGCGGAGGGTATGAAACGCACTATCTGGGCCGCGAATCGGCTCCTGTGTCCTCTCTTTACGTTTACTATATTACTCTATGCCGGTACCGGATAGATCTTTTCTGCGTACCCTCAACCCCAGCCAATTAATAGGCATATCCGGTAAAGGGCGATGAAAAAATACTAAAACGTTTCAACCTGTAACTAGTAAAAAAATAAGGGAAAGGCAAAACGATAATGTGTAACGGTGGCGCTTATATCCTAAGTGTCTTCTACTGGCGTGGCGACGGCAAAGCAATGCTTTCGCCCATACTGGAAGTGACGACAATTCAAGATGGCGGCGCCCTTGATGAAAGGGTCCATAGACTGCTGCGCAGAAGCAGTAGCCTGAAAAGCTGAATTCGGTAGTGTGGTTTTTGTAATTCCGTTTATCTCTGCAGAACACTAATGCTGTCAAAGTTGATGGGAACAATGCTTGGGATTAGGCTAGTTTGTTTTTCGAACCTTGATTGAATACACTGCGAAGGATTACCAATATTAAATGTCGCTGGGACTAGGAACATAACGGGAAATTCAAAAGTAAGCACGGGCGCTTACCTGTATATATCATGTTGTTTTCCTAGTCCTTGTGTTGTTAAACCGTAATGCGTTGCAGCGCAATTCCATTAAATAGTGAATAATTCGGGTAAGAACCTTTTAAAAGCCTCAGTGTGACAGCGGATGTTTTGCTATAGGCCTCGTGCGCTGACGCTTTGAACAAACTGTAGCGCCTTCATTTTGGGTAGTACAAGCTCACTTGATTGAGCCTCGCGCTATTTATGGCACGTTGGTTGAGCGTTTTTAATTCTGTCTGGTGCTGATGAACGAAAGAAGACCTTTGGACGCCAGAAATCGGCCAGGCTCAACGCCGCAAGACAATCAAAAGTGCCAAATTAATGACACCACCGCTAGGGTACGTGTCTCGTATCTATGGGTAGTGACGTCAAAACACCTGTGTCGCGACGCTTTCATTTTGTTTTTCTTTGTCATGCCTACTTTGGGACGCGTGAAACAGCATCTCTTGGCTCACGCTTTTAGCGTCTTAGCTTTGACGGCGTTCGAATTTTTGTTGTTTATTTTTTATTT